CCAGGACTTAATCCTCAGACTTCTGTCTACATCCCTCCCATGTGCTCTCAATCATTTCAAGACTTTAAATAACATCTATGTCTTCCTCACTCCCAGTTTTATTGAGCTATAATTGACATGTAACATTAGTTTAAGGCAGTGGTTCTCAACCTTCCTAATGCTGCGACCCTTTAATACAGTTCCTCATGTTGTGGTGACTCCCAATTTCATTGTTACAAATTGAACATAATTAAAGCATAGTGATTAATCACAAAAACAATATGCAATTATATATGTGTTTTCCGATGGTCTTAGGCGACCCCTGTGAAAGGGTCGTTTGACCCCCAAAGGGGTCTCGATCCACAGGTTGAGAACTGCTGGTTTAAGGTGTACAACATAGTGATATACGTATACATTGTGAAATGGTTACCACAATAAGTTTAGCACCTCACAGTTACATTTTTTTAAATGAGAACTTTCAAGATCTACACTCTTAGCAACTTTCAAATATGTAATATAGTATTAACTATAGTTACTGTGTTGTACATTACATCTCCAGGACTTATTTCTCTTACAACTGGAAGTTTGTGCCTTTTGACCACAGTCACCCATATCATCCACCTCAGGCCTCTGGCATCTACCAATCTGTTGTTTCTAAGAGTTGGTTCTTTTTAGATTCCACATGTAAGTGAGAACATAGAGTATTTGTCTTTCTGATTTATTTCACAGCATAATGCCCTCAAGGATGAATGGATGAAGAAAATGTGATCTATATAATGGAATATCATTCAGCCATAAAAAAGAAATCCTGTCACTTGCAACAACATACATGGACCTTGAGGACCGTCTATATCAGCGGTTCTCAACCTGTGGGTCGCGACCCCTTTGGCGGTCGAATGACCCTTTCACAGGGATCGCCTAAGACCATCCTGCATATCAGATATTTACATTAGGATTCATAACAGTAGCAACATTACAGTTATGAAGTAGCAACGAAAATAATTTTATGGTTGGGTCACAACATGAGGAACTGTATTTAAAGGGCCAGAAGGTTGAGAACCACTGATCTATATGTATCAACTCCTAATTTCTTGTCTCAGCCTAAACCTCTTCTCTGAGCTCCAGATATCAGCTTCATATATCTGACTGCCAACATCTCCACCTGGTTGTCTAATTGGCATCTCAAACTTAAAATGTCCAACATAAACTGATTTCTCCCAGTCTTGTACCTCCTGCAGGCCTTACTGTCTCAGTTAAGTATACTTCCATTTACCCACCTGCCCAGGCCAAAAGGCATGGAGTCATCTTGAATACCTCTTATTCTCTCACATCTCATATTCGGCATCAACAGAGCGTGTCAGCTTTATCTTTGAAACATTCAGAATCTAACCACCCTTGTTCAAGCTGTCATCTCTTGCATGGATTACTGCAGTGGCCTAATTGATCCTCATGCTGGCGTGCTGTGTGGAGGGTTCACCACGCAACAGTCGACTCAGCCTTTCACTCTGTTCAGACATTTCCATCGGCTTCCCACTCATTCAGTGTTTTTACTGCCTCCAGGAACCTACTCCAAAGCCCATGTTACCTCTGACCATATATCTCACCACTCACCTCAGCCACCCTTGCTTTTTTTTTTTTTTGACACATCTTCCACCATTGGATATTTGCATCTACTATTCTGCCTACAATGTTCTCTAGGTATCTTCCTGGCTCTTTTCCTCCACGCCTTCCCAATTCAGTTCCCGCTCTGAGTCCTTCCCTTAATCTTTGTGAATTAGAAGCCCTTCTGTGGTGTTTTTTAAATACCTCTGTAGCCTGGCCAGTGTGGTTCAGTGGTTGAGTGTTGACCTGTGAACCAGGAGGTCATTGTTCAATTCCTGGTCATGGCACATACCCAGGTTACAGGCTTGATCCCCAGTGTGGGGCGGTCAAGAGACAGCCGATCAATGATTCTCATCATTGATGTTCCTATCTCTCCCTCTCCCTTCCTCCCTCTGAAAGCAATAAAAATATATTAAAAATAAAATATCTCCATAAGTATTTTTATATTTCTCCCTTTAAGAGATGAATCCTAATGCCCTTACCCTTGAATGTGGGCTGGACATAGTTATGTATTTTTTTAAATATATAAAAATCCCTACCCTCTACCCTCTAGTCCCCCAAGCCATGCTTGTCTGCCTCTGCACATTCAGTGGTTCTCCACTCTGTGGGCTCAGCCTTAGAGAGGGCTTGACTGCCCCAGAACTCACCACATGAAACTGTGTAGGGGAGGGCATCAGTACTGGTTGGATTGGGGATAAGGACACCTATGTAATAACTTAATCAATAAAAATTTTTTTAAAAGTACGGGTTGGATCACCAAGGCTTCCTGGGGGGCGGGGGGCGGGGGTGTCTGACACTTAGGTCTGAAATCCGAGTGGGAGGACCCTGGAGTGAACCAAAGGTGTGAGCAGGACTGAGCCTCAGTGTGGCCAAGGGTGGGCCAAAGAGAGCAAGGACTTAGGACCACAGTGGGATCCAGGCTGGGGACAAAGGTAGAGGCTGGAGATAGGGAGAGCGAGGGTCACCCTGGTGACCCAGGGCAGGGCAAGCTGGGTCTGAGAGGAGAGGACTGGTTGGGGGGAGGGGAGAGGAAGCAAAAGTCACACCTGAATATCTGCCTCTTGGGGGACCCTTGGCCCTGGGAGGAATCTTGCCTCTCTGGGTATGAGGTCAGGGGATGATCTCTGTGCTGGGTCTGGGTTTGACATAGCAGTTTCACACCCATGCCAGGTGTCACCCACACAGACATATGTTGTTCTCACACGGCATCACCTCCAGGTGGCCCTCCTGCTTTTGGTAGGGTGATTCCCTTACATACAGGAAGAAACGGGGGTATGTATGAGGGTGCCAGAGAGGAATGGGGTCCACACTGCTCAGAGCAGGAATTGTGACCTGCCATCAGGACCCCCAAATAAGGAACAGCATCTGGGGATCATGGGGGATAGGGTAGGCCTGAATCAGTGGGCAGAAGGGGTCTGGAGATACAGACTAGGGAGTCACACACATGGGTGAAGATGGCCAAAATGCTGATCATTTTAAATGCATGATGAGCATCACTCTTTTTGTATATAAGCTTGAAGATGTCTGTAATAGAACGTCCAAAAAGCTTTAAAAAAAAAACCTGAAGAAAAACAAAGCAAAGCCTGGTTGATCGAGGACCCATGAACCAGGAGGTTACGGTTTGATTCCCGGTCAGGGCACATGCCTGGGTTTCGGGCTTGATTCCCAGTGTGGGGTTTCGGGCTTGATCCCCAGTGTGGGGTGTTCAGGAGGCAGCCAATCAGTGATTCTCATCATTGAAGATTCTCTCTCTCTCTTCCTCTCTGAATAAAAAACCTGTGTGACTGTGTACCAGTATCTCCATGTAGCATGTGTACCTGCTGCAGGTGTGGAATCAGTGCAGAGACATCCAAGTGTGCCTACATAGGTGTGAGTCCACCACCATTCGCACATATTGTGCAAACTGCAGCATTGGGCAGAGCATGGGGAGAAGTTTCAGTTCTGTCCAGGCCTTCCCCACTCACCCCAACATCCTGCGGAATGGCTCCCCTCATGAGCACAGCCATTGGCGCTGTAGTGTCCGTATGTGAAACCGGGCAGCTGTGTGCCTGAACTCTGACAGGGTATGTTGGTGTGTGAACACAGTGATTTGTGTGTGAATGCCGGGACTCACTAAGTGTGGAGCACCCTGGTCCCCAGTCCGAGAGCAGTGGATTCCTCATTCTCTTTTGCACGATTCCCACCCGCTCCCCAGCGCCCCCTCCCCCGAATCTGGCTGTGTGGAAGGTGGGAGACACCTGTTGGGGGCTGGGAGCGGCGGAGCCCACCGGGGCCTCTCTCCCGGCGTCCCCGCCCGCCCTGCCCCGCTCCGGTCCCGCCCCCGCGGCCTCTCCTAGCAAAGCGGTGTGAGCGCAAGGCGGCCAGAGGAGCGCACGGCGGCAGGAGCGCACAGTGGGAGACCCAGCGCGGGAACCGAACGGAGGCAGGGGCCGCCCCGGAGGCGGGCGTAGAGGGAGAGCCGTGGAGACGCCGGGGGCAGCGGGCCGCGCCAAGCTGGTGAGTGCAGCCGCGGGGTGCCAGGAGCCAGAGAGCAGGCGTCGACCTCTCCGTCCCCTGTCCGGGGCTCTGTGCCCGCCGCCCTCTATTCCTGCGCCTCGACTCCTTGGTTCTAGTTCTCTGTGTCTCTGCCGCGTCTGTTTTCCCTGTGTCTGTCTGTCTGTCCCCTCTATTTACTGTCTCGCCCTCTCTCTTTTTAATCTCTTCTGTCTCTGTCTCCTGCAGCGTCGGTCTTCCCCGTTCTCTCCCAAGCCCTGTCTCCCTAATTGTCTCTCTGTCTCTGTCTCTCTCTTTGGACTGCCTGTTACTCAGATCTTTGATATTTATCTCTTGCTCCCCTCTTTCTCTTACCTCCCCTGTCTCTCTACCTAGTATCTCTGTCAATCTCGTCTCTGTCTCTCCATTCTTGAATCTGCCTGATATCTCTGTCTCTCTCCATCTTGGTCTCTCTCAGTCTGTCTCTTCCCACCTTTGTCTCTCCTTGTCTCTCTGTCCCATCTTGATTTCTATCACCTTGTCATATTCATTCTTCTCTCTCTCTCTCTCTCTCTCTCGCTCTCTCTCTCTCTCTGTCAGGTGGCTCTCTCTCACTGTCCCCCATCTCTCTCTGTTTCTTGGTCCTTGTCATCCTCTTTGGCTCAGTCTCTGCCTGTCCTCCATCAATGCCCATTCCTGTCTCTTTGGCTTTGTCTCTCTTGCTCTGTCTACCGCTCGCCAATCTCTGAGAAAGCTATCTTTCTGTCTTTTTCCTTATGGCCTCCCTGCACTTCCCTGAACCCATGACCATCTCCCCTTGCGTTGGAGGTTGCAGGGGCAGCAGGGCCCAGCAACCATAATGCCCTCTCCCACAGGCGGCCCTTTCTTCTGGGCCCCGCCTGGTGCCAGCTCCCCCACCGGCGGGGGGACTGCGCCTGGAAGCTGTGATGGAAGCCCTGCAGAGGCAGCAGGCAGCCAGACTGGCCCAGGGGATGAGGCCATTGGCCCCTCCACGCCCACCGCCACCACAGCCTTCCTTGCCTGGCCCTGGGATTCTGCAGGCCCTTGAGAGGGCCTCAGGGAAGGTTGGGGCTGAGAAAGAGGAGGATGCCGGAGAGGATGAGGAGCGGGAGGAAGCTGGAGCTGAGAAAGAGGCAGCTGAAGAGAGTCGTCCAGAAACCCGGGGGCCCAGCTCACCTTCCAGCCAGCCCCCTGGACCGCATCCCCATGAGTGGACCTACGAGGAACAGTTCAAGCAGGTAGGAGTCCCTCACTGCCAGGCCCTCCTCTTCCTCCTTTCTGAGCCAACGCAGAGCCTGGTCATTGGTAGCCTACCCACCCCTGCTGCCCTCTGCCCTCTACAGGATGGAAAGACAGACCGAGACCTGGAGAGAGACAGTGGAAAGATTGAAGGATAGTGACAGGAAGGGAGAGATAGGCACCCAGAGACTCAGACACACGGAAAGAAGTGCATAGGCAAATATTAAGAGGTGCAGGAGAGACCCAGAAACATGGAGGCCGACAGATTGGAGGCTTTTGGTGAGGTTAGAAGGGAAAGTGGGAGGGATGTAGGAGCCCTTAAGAATTCTTCCGAGGGTGGGGAATCTGGGGACTGGCATTCTAATGTCAGCAGCATCCTTCCCTAACTTCTCACACACCAAGTCACAAGGTCATATTGGGCCGCCTGCTTCTGTCTTTGGAAGTAGAATGGAGGTTGCCACTCTTTTGGTATCCCCCTCATCTCTTCCCTGTCACATTCCCCCCATCCAAATCCTCTCACTGCCTGAGTTCTATGGGTGACAGTTTCCAGCCTGTGATGGCCACTACAGGCGCAGTGTGGCCAACGGGCCACCGTGCAGCTGGGAAGGACAAGATCTTACTCACAGGGCCTATTTGAGTGAACCCATCTGGATGTTATTCTAAGGCACTACTCCAGGCTGTCACTATGAAGATATTTGGCAGGGCTGTGACTCTAGGTATGCTATTGTAGTGGTGTTACCTGTAGGGCAAGTACGTCAAACTCGCGGCCAGCGAGCCGCACGCCTCGTTTATTTAAACACTGTAGGGTGTTAGTCTTGAGTATTTTCCAGAAATGTTCATCTGTGGTGAGTAGTCTGTGGCATTAGTGTATAAAGGAGTGTTACTCAGGACTGTGTTACTCTGGAGATATGGCTCTAGCGACTGCTTCTCCTGGGTATAAATCCGGGGGTTATTGCTTGGAGAGTGTGTATGTTATTTGTGGGCACCCATCTAAGGGCTCAGTTCTTGTGGGAGCGTAGATCTAAAGGTGAATCGCTGATGTTTGTTACTAATGGGGGTTTTTACTGAGTTCTTATTGGGGGATGGAGTGTTACCTAGAGGGACTCTTACTCTGGGGTAAATGACTATTACTCTAGGGATTGCTCCTCCTGGGTGGTATTTGGGAAGTGATGTTGGAGGTGGGGCTCCGGGTGACTGGGAATGTGTGGGATGACCCCCTGGGCCTTTCAAGTCCTGACCCCACCGGTCCTGGGTGGTGCAGGGCCATTGCCTCTGTGGCAGCTTCTGCAGTGGGAAGGTCACTGTCCCTGGAAGGAGATCAGACTAGATGGTGGGGGCCCTGGTTTCAATCCAGGAGCTTCTGAGCATCCATCCTGCCTGAGGGATGGGTTAGAGTCATTATCCCCAACCCTGGCAGAGATGTGAAAGGCAAGAAGCCCTTGCAGGAATGACCAAGAGTGAATGAGGGCCTAGGATATATCTGTCAGTTTCCTCAGTGTGGAACACAGCTCCAGTGTGATTCCCTCCCTGCACTCTGCACTCCCGGGAGGAAGCAGGGCCTCCACAGCTTCCTCTCTTCCCCTACTCCCCAGGTGGGTGTTTGACCTGCCCAGGGCACTCGCTGTAGAGGGCCTCTGCCTCCAGGGAGAGAGAGCCCAATGTCTGGGAGTTCACATTTCAGATCCTCCTTACCCCTTCAGCTGGGGACCCTTATTCAGGGTACAACCTGGGTTGGGGTCCCAGGGGGAGGGAGGTTAGCGGAGCTGGAAAATGACCTCAGTCCTTCCCCAGCTGTACGAGCTCGATGCAGACCCCAAGAGGAAGGAATTTCTGGATGACCTGTTTAGCTTCATGCAGAAGAGGGGTGAGTGTGGTGACGTAAGGGAAAGACCTCCATTTGCCAGGTTTGAGGATGGGAGAGCTCAGGGTTTAGTCCCCAGTCTGGGTCCTCTCTGCAGAGGCCTGAGCTGGGCAGCACCTATCCTTTGGGCCCTCAATAGCGTCTTTAACCTCTGACCCTGCCCTCCTCCTCCACCCAGCAATTAATTAGTGGCCAGCCCACTGGCAGGTTAATGAGTGTGGGATCAATTGGGAAGGTGGGAAGGGGAACTGGTGGGGGGCTGGCCTGATTGGAGGGGGGCTTCCCAGGACTAGGGGGCTGGGAACGCCTTGGTCCTCCTTTGCTGACCCTTCTTCCAGCCTCGTCTCTCCCCAGTTTTCCCTTGCTTCGGGCAGGGGACACCCAGGGTGCTCTGCAGCAGAGAGGACTGGGATTAGACTGAAGGAAGGACTTCTCAAGGGGTAGGCTGAGAACCGTGTGAGTTGGGGCAGTGGAGGAGGAGGACTCAGGGTGGGTGGCAGTCCATCACTGAGGCTTCTCCCCAGATTCATGGGTCCAAAGACTGACTCATTATCTCTCTCTACAAAGCTAATTAACTCACTCCGAGCGTGGCCTGATAAGCTGCTAATTAACTGGCTGCACTGAGCCCCCCTCCCCAGTGCAGAAGCTGGCCAAAGTCCCGCAGGCCCCCACCCCAGGCCCAGCACCCCTGACGGATTCATTCCTAAGGAGGGACCCTCACTGGGGCCCAGATCCTTTTGCTCCCCAGGGAGCCCTAGTCTTTGTGGTCCCAGTGTACCCTCCCTGCCCCTTCCTTGAGGTCTCCCCTCCACTGGGGGGTTGGGGCAGGGTGGTTAGAACAGACCCTATCACTCCCCCCACCAGGCCCAGAGCGGTGCCTCCCTCACGTCTTCCCTCCCTGGAGTCCGGCCTCCCTCCGCTCCCTCTGCAGGGGGAGGGGGTCTCCCGGGGCCGATAATTTCCCCCCATTAATCAGGCCGCAGCTAATTGTTCGGGTCCAAAGGCGGCAGCGGAAGGGGACGGGATCGGTAAGGAATTAACTGGGGCCCATCGCTCAGCGCAGACAGGCCCCTTTGTCAGGACCGGCCGGCGGGGGCGGCGCGGGCTGCGGAGTTGGCGAGCCGAGGCTGGGCCGCTTCCCCCACCCAGCACCCTTCGGCGTCGCCCCCGGCCGCTGCTTCGGGGCGTCAGGCTGCTCAGCACTGTCCGGAAGTCCTTCTTACGGTCTACTCCAGGGGTCGGCAGATTTGGGCACCAAATCTAGCCTCCCGAGAGTTAAGAATGTTATTGGATTTTTAAACAGTGTAAAGACCTGAAAGACCACGCTTCCAGGCGTGTGAAATTCGAACTGCAGCGCCCGCAGTGACGTTTCATTGGGGCACAGCCGCACGGCTGCTTTCAGCCACAGTGCGGGGTGGTTCTGGAGAGGCCGTTTGGCCCACGAAGCCTGAGCGTTTCTCATCGGCCCTTGACGGAAGTTTGCCCAGCCCTGGGCTCGCTCCTGCTCCTCCCGGAGCTCCAGGGGCTCTGCCTGGAACACCGCCTCCCTCCCACCTCTCCCTCCCTCCTCCTTCCCTGTCTCGATGTCCCGCCCTGTACCCCCACCTCACCCCGGCAGCCTCCGCCTTCCCTCCCCCGGGATGCCCGTGGGCAGGGTCCCATCTTCGTGGCCTGACTCTGCTCGCCCCCACCAGGGACGCCGGTGAACCGCGTGCCCATCATGGCGAAGCAGGTGCTGGACCTGTACGCGCTGTTCCGCCTGGTGACGGCCAAGGGCGGCCTGGTGGAAGTCATCAACCGCAAGGTGTGGCGGGAGGTCACGCGCGGCCTCAGCCTGCCCACCACCATCACCTCGGCCGCCTTCACTCTCCGCACCCAGTGAGGCCGGGCGGGCGGGGCGGGGGGAGCGCGGAGGGAGGGGCCGGGGCGGGGCGGGGCGGGGCCCGAGGCGGCTCCGGGCGCAGGTCCCGATCCGCAGGGCCCGGCTTCCCCAGCGCACGTGTCCCGCCCGCCCCCAGGTACATGAA